ATTTAAATAGTTATTAAAAAAATTATATTAAAAAAACCAATTCCAAAAATTTATGACTCACACTGTATATATATATAGTGATATTCAAAATTATTTGAAATTTTTCTTAATATATTTAACTCAATAAAAAATTATTTAAATTAAATATAAATATAAATATAAATATAGAAATACCATAAAATTATTTTTACTTATAACTAGTTTATAGATTATATTATTATTATTATTTTAAATAATTAATTTTAATTAAAAATTTTAAGTTATATATTAATTTTATAACTTGATTTTCATAAAAATCAAGTTTCTATATATGTTTATATATGTTTTTTTATAATAAATAGTATTATCAATTAATATAAACATATTTTAATTGAAATAGTTTATTAATACTAAAAGATTTATAATTTAATTTTTTCATGTTTTTTAGATTAATTAATTAATCATATAATTTTTAATTTTTAAAAAAAAATTTTCAAAAAATTTTGGATATCGCTGTATATATATATTTTATTTGTAATATCAAGATAAATAAGCTTCATTTAAAAATTTTGTACATATTTGTTTAATTATCAATACAAAAAGTTTTATTGATAGATTATATATTATGACATAAAATATGTATTAACTTTTTTTAATGTAGCTCTTGTTGGATTAGCCTATTAAAAAAAATGTATTTGTTTGTTTGTTTGATATGTTTTTTTCATAATTGCAAAAAAATCTTACCTTGGACCTAGATAAAATAATATATAAAAGTCTTTTTTGAATGAGATCTTTTGTTACAACTAGGTTTGTTGCAAATGATCATTTTCAAGGAATTATAAATCACTAATACAATAATTATAATGTTAATAAATGAAAAAAACCTACTTTTGTTATCAACTCCACCCTTTATAAAAACACCTAAAGTTTCCGTAATTAGGTATATATGCTTTCCAGTTACATTTCTTATTAATGAAAATAATTCTCAAAAATAACTACCTCCGTCATCAAAATATTTCACCAGTACAGCAAGACCGATACCGACGCTTCTATCAATGCCTTGTTTACAATGAATTAAAATCCTTTTTTTTTCTTCAAGGGGTTTTTTGACAAATTCCAAAGCAACCGGAATACTTGAGAATAGATTGTTCTGTCCCTTTTTACCTTCTGGAATTGAAAGTTGAAGGTAATTATTACTATAAGGAGGTGAAGGTATGGGTTCTGAATCCGAATAAGGTTCCGGTGTGCAGTTAATGATGTAGTCAAAAATTGTCCAGCATGTTAATGGATTCGCTACGATAATATAATGTGTTAAGAATCAATCTAATAACATTAAATTATCATTTGCAAAATGAGCTTTACCACTCTTATAATTCCCTATAGCAACACATGTATTTCCAATAAAATCAAAATTTTTGGATGCATCAATATTTGATACTAATAATTCAGGATTTGTATTCCGGTGCCCATCTACAATTTCCTTCACTCTTTTTTCGCATTCCACGGGATCATTCGTGTTCAAAATCGTCTTGTGGTGTTTCCAAAACAATGATGGCGTCAACCCCTAAAATGAAACTTCTTATTATCGAGTTTCTTATAATCAATATAAATATCAATTTACCATTGCCCACATTTCATGGTCATCAGCTGAACCTTGGACATATAGATAACCGTGTCTTCTTTCTGAACCCATCTCCACCATTTGTGAAGCACTTAGACAAATTACCGGGAAAAACGACACCGTGGAATAGTCTGGAAGGTCGTGTATAAATACATTTGAAGATGGTGTAAACCATAGTGGTCTCAACGGTTTTTTTAATTTGTTTGACAGTGACTCTATATTGTATCCTGAATTCTATGAACAACAAATAAGGTCTCATGCTAACGCTAAACATGCCGAACTAGTTTAAAATCACTTACAATAAGGTCCTGAGCAAATTTTGGAATCAGTGAGACAATTTGAGAATGCTCAGAATTAGAAATTACAGAAGAAAGTGAATGAAATTCTGTATCCCATTCACTTGACTTTTCCTGCAACAAGAATGATTCTAATTCATTTTTTCTCTCGAAACCAATCGAATCACGATATTTCTTGATGGCAAGGTTTATTGTACAACACCAGATTGGAATGGTTTTTGATAGTGCATCAGGTAAACGTTTCCCGCGTCTTGTAGAATCAACAACTATGCATCTGATGTGCATTTAGTAGTTTGTTAAAAAATTAAGTGAATTTGTTATAGCAAGAAATTTTTCACGGATTAGTGTACTCACCCACTGTGCTTTACAATAATATCCAAAAGATGAGCATTCAATCTACGTATATTAAAGGCCCAGTTTCCTGTATGCCCATCAGTTGATTTGAAATACACACTTTCAGCACATAACTTGATTTTATAATTAATTAAAAGTCGTATTATTATTAACGATTATAAATGTTAGACCACGTTTGAGGAGTTAAATTGACGGTAGAAGTACCCTTTGAGGATCAATATACCAAGTTCCACAACGTTCGTTCGCTTAAATAAAATAAATTTTACTTCGAGAAAGAAAGTTGCAAAAATCATTTGAATTATTGTATACCTATGACCGGTAAACACGGAAACATATTTGAAATTTCGCTGACAAATTTAGAATCCTCGTAGATTGATCTTAGTCTATTGTATCTAAGAATGAGTATGAAAGATATCTCATCAGACTATTGATAATGGTCCAGGACATGAAACAAAGTGACCGAGAAATTACATATTTTTAGAATCTTTATGAATCTGTTCGTTATCATAATGAAAACCAGTCCGAATCCTTCCGCTATCTGTGTCATCGCAAAAATAATTTTGAGAGAATATTATGGAAGACAAAGGAATGCTTGGTGTTTTACTTTGAGGCATGAGATACGTGGAAGAGTGCAGGTACAGTATGTATGACAAGTATCGTGGCTTATAAGTACGTGCACAATGCGTATCTAAAATCAATATAGTCTCGTAAGAGAAATGTCAAATTTTAAAATACTTTGTTTCTTTATTAAAGGAAAGATTATTTATACTTGTTATTTATGCCTTCTATTCTATTGCAAAATAAAATAATTTTAGTTATACAAGTAAAATGTTTATTAATTTGTTTAATAATTATTTCTTGATGGTAAAAATAAATGCAAACATGGATACAAGGATTATTTATACAGTTTGTAAAAATCTTCATATTTTAAATAAAATATAAGAAAAGATCGGTTAGAGAAACACAGTTCTATTAGCAACCTTGCATTATTGGAAAAAAATCATATTTTAATAATCGTAAACTTTTTAATCTGCAAATCCAAGATAACTTCGAAAGAGTTTCTATTTTTAGAACAGATAATAAAATAATTACTAAAGATATACGAGAAATTTTTGAAAATAACAAATTCAATTCGTATAAAAAATAGGATTTATTATATTATAATTACAGTAGTCTAGTGTTTTTCACTAAAGATACATAACAAATTCTTGATATAAGATACAAATAGCTTGTTTATTTTTTATTTTCTCTTTTATTTATTTTTTTATAATTTTTAAAGACTTGTTTCATATTTTCTATATATATATATTTTTGTTTACTTGCTTGAAAATATATTGATAAAAAATTTACAATTAATAATAGTTATATATTGATATTGATTAAAGCTAACAAATAAATTAAACTAAATATATATATATATATAAACAAATATATATATATAGTATAATTAATAAATATTAAAAGGATTTTTACAATTATATAAAATAATTATATATTGTTTATATCTATATACTAGTAATAATAAAGTAACAAGCAGTAAAAAAAATTAATAAAAATATTTTCAATATATAATTTAATTGTATTCAATTATATTTCTTAATTTTTGTTTAATCACATAATTAATATATATATATTATAAATTTGTAATTAGTTTTTAACAATATTATTTCAATATTAAGTTGATATTAAATTTATAATAATATAAGTTTAATATAATAAATTACAATTTATAAATTAAATTTATTATAAATCAAAATTATTTTAAAATTATTTCAATATTAATTCAAAATTTTATTTATTTATTTATTTATTTATTTTTTTGTAGGTAAACATCATTTCTTTATTTATTTGTATAATAATAAATATACATTGCAAAAGAAACAACATCTCTTATATGTATTAGTATAATAAGTTAAATGCTAGCTTGTCTACAGTAACCACTAGACTAATATTGAAAAGAAATTTTTAAAACAATATATCTCATCAAGCAGTACTAAACAGCTATAATTACCTACTCAGCATTGGATGGGAGGAAGTTAGAAAGATCTGAATTAGTTTGGAAATGCATTTAGTGAAGTTGAATCCATTTTGAATGTATGAGTCAGCTATGATGATAAGTATGTCTATAATAGTTAATATTAATATAGAGTTGTTATTGGATAGTTTAGTTTTGGCTAGGTTTTTGATAGTTTGTTTTGTTATATTATTATGAAGATTGTTGTCCCATTTAATGCTAGTGAGAGGAGAGATATTTGCTGTAGCACAGCAAAGTGTCCAAATTAACTTGTATAAACGAGCTAAGATCTCAGTTAAAGTTTCAATTCAATTGAAAAAATTAATTATAGAGAAGATGTTGTTTGTGATGTCACATGTCAGCTCTGCTAGTTACCAAGTATATGAAATAGGCTTGTAATTATTGTCAGGGCAAAAAATGTTATTGATGATGGTGATAAGTTGATTGATATCTTCTGATACTAATAGGCATTTGAAGACATGTTGAATATTCTTAATACGTAAGTTACACCAGGGACAATATGAATCAGAATATTGTTCTGAATATAATTTGTAAAGATTTTTTCTTATAGAAAAAGTTCCTGAAAGCAATTTGATTCAGAAAGTAATGAGGTCACTATATTTGTTAGCTCTAGAACTTTTTATTCTTTTGTTTGATTTGTTAATGATTTTGAGACCTTGAGGTTTATAGATATATCTAAATGTTTTAAGAATTGAGAAACTTTCACAGATTATATAGGTTTTGATAATGCTTAGGATTTTTTTGCACCATCTGACATTGTTGCCTAATTGTAGATTGTTAATTAATGGGCTTTCAGAAAAGTAAAGTGGCAAATTGGATCATTGGAAAATGTCATCAAATCTTAAATTGGATTTGGAATTGGTATATCTATATTGAATTGATTTGTCTCAGATTAATTTGTTAATTTTTAGTAATATTGGAGCAAAGTTAGTTTTTGTTATTCTTGGATAATTGGAAACTTCTTGGAGGATTTTCTTGTTGCTTCTTATTTTTATGATACAGTTTGATAGGCACCAGTATAAGATATCCATTATTATATAAAGGAAGTCTCCTAATGAATATCCTGGACTGATTGATATTATTTTTGTATTGTTTACAAAAATCTTGTTCTAATGAAGTTGAAAATAGTACCGTTGGCAAAAGCAAAGTACTGATATGGGAGGGGAGATAAAAAAATTGTCAATGAAATGAAGAATGTTCTCTCGTCTCATTGCTGTAATATGATAAACAGTTTGCTGATTATATTACATAGTTGATATTTACTTGTGCTGTTAGAATTCGAAATTACCTATAATGAGGATGCTGTAAGGCTTATAAATGACAATGGACAGAAGCCAACCAAGTATGATCCTATTGGACAACTATTGTATCTGGACAAAGTATTATTTGGTTCAATAGAATAGTGTCTTCTTTTAAGGTTTGTCCTTTCATTTATGTTTCAATTTCTCTTGTATATTTTGATAACACAATTTGAATTGTGTGAGTATCAGAATAATGAACTGGAATTTGGTACTGGACTATAGGTTCCATGAAGATTGTTCAGATTGTTAAAATATTTGAACCATTTGAGTTCTGGTTTGCATCATACTATTCCTGTATGCAATATGAGTTGAAACTATAAGAGCTTTTCTATACTGTTGTATTTTAAAAGTTGGTTAGTGAATTTGATGTTTAGGATGTTTGCTGTATTGATTACTATAGTTTTGTTAAAAGATTGCAGGTTTTTGAATAGAAGACCAATAGAGTTTTCTGCATTGTTGGGCTAAGCTGGGCAATCGTTTGAACAGATTTTGATTTTAAGATCTTTTGCAACCTTGGTTGTATATGTAATCCAATTATTCTGGTTAAAGTTTTTTGGGTTGTAAATAGGACAGAACCAGATTGATTTATTTTTCTGGATTGATCGCAAATCTTGGAAAATATATTTTCTAGTTGCTAATATGAAAAGTTTGGATATTAGGTTACCGACCAGTAAAAATCTTTGTCTTTCTTTAAGAAAAATCATATTGAGACCACTATTATTGATAAAAATTGCATTTGAGCATCTGGATGTGATTTTGTAAGCTGACTTAATAAGTTTGTTAATCTTGGATTGGAATGTGTTAAGGGTGAACTTGTTAAGGTATAATAAAGATAGGAAGTATTCAAACTTGTCCATAGTAATCCAGTCGCAAATCTGTTATTTGATCTTACCTTTCTAGTTGTGTTTGAAAAGTTCTTTTAGAATTGTATTTATGGTTTGATTGATAGCCTTTCTATTGTCTTGAGTAGGTTTCTGAAAGAAATAAGTACTCCCAGATATTTAATGCTTTCATGGAGCTTGAGAACTTTAATTGGGTAGTTGTCAAATTTGATTGAATTACTGAGATCTTGTTTGATTTTGATGTTAGGGATTATTCTGGTTTTGTCTTTGTTGCAGATAATATTATTTATTGTAAAGAATTGATTAGCTGTTGAAAGAAGATCTTCCATTAATTGTTTGCTATTCACAATAAAAGCTAAATTATCCATATATGCCAGGGTATTGAAGGCAATGTAGTTTTGAATTGGCTTGTAGCTGACTAATCTAGTGACAAGAGGGTTGTAGAATATTATTTAAATGATAGGTGATAGTATCTCTTCTTGCTCTATTCCATTGTTTGCTATAAAGGGTTCTGTTGCTCCAAATGGTGTGTTGATAAAAACTTTTCTGTTGCTAAGAAGATTGATAATTAGGTCGATAATAGTTGTAGAGCAGTTAATTTTTTCAAGAGATTTTTTAATAGCCAGGATAGGTGTTGAGCCGAAAGCTTTTACTATGTTAAATAATGCAAACTAGAATTCTTTGTAATTTGTGTTAACTGCATTTATAACAGAGTGGACTATTGTTAATAATTCCATCGTGCTTTGGTTTGAAAGGCCAGCAAAGTTGAATTCTGATAAGATATTATTTAATTTAAGGATTTTGGTTAGTTTTTTATTGATTATATCAATAAAGACTTTCCTGACTGAGTCAATAAGAGATATGAATGTTGTATCATTGAGTTTGTAACTCCAGAGAAGCTTCTTGAAAATGAGAATAATAGTTGTTTGTTTTCAAGATTTGGGAATGGACACAGATAATAGAATCTGATTGAATATAAGAGACATGTATTGAACTGTTTTTTTGTCCATTAGTTTAATAATGTCATAACTAACTCTTAATTTTTCTGGAGCTTTGTTCTTAGGTAGTTTGTTAATTATGTCTTGGATTATTGTTTGATCAAAGGGTTGGATAACTTCATTGTATATTTCTTGGTTAACTTGTTTGATAGAGTATTCTTTGTACCAGTCTAGAAATTGGTCTAAGTCAAAGTTTCTGCTTCTAAGGATATTTTGAAAATATTTGTTAATGATTTTTTGTATAAGGTCTGGATCATTTTCTATTTGATAATATGTTCAAGTTAATTTCTTTAGTTAAATATTTTTTCTTATTTTTCCATTCTATTGAATATTTTCTTTTTTTAATATTAATATTTAATTTTGATTTTGTAATATCGATTAAAGATATGTTTTATAATTTCTTATTTTTTGCATAAGAGATATAACTTGTTTTTGTAT